GGTAGAATTCAATAAGAAGAAACGTACCCTTGACGGTTTAACCGTCGAGAGCAGCGAAGCGTGCAAAGTTCCGAGGGTTCGGAAAGTTCGGAGACTCCGGAAACGGAAGACGAGCCGGTCTCGTGTCTACAGGAATCCGAGAAAAAGTTAATTAATGGCGCGCGGCACCGTCGATCCGGCTCGCGCGGACCTCTCCGCTCCGATAGGCTTTCCCGGCGCGAGGGGCGGAACGCTTAAGAGGGTTAGTTGATTCGAACGGAGGGACTTTCGAGGCACCCCATGAATCAAGTAGGGCCCGCGTTATCTCTTATATTAATCGAACCCGACCGAGGCACGAGCGGACGCGGGGAAGATTTATCGAAGACTCTTAAGTGGCTGGAATCTTAAATCGTCTCCGAGAGGTTGCGACCTCGCGTTCGCCCCGAACCACCCCCGAAACGCGTCCGCAAGAAAGATGAAGCACCCTGACCCCTCTCGGTTTCGATTCGCGCCGAGAGGGAAATTAGCCCGCGAACGGTGCATGAAATTATCGCTCGTTATCCTCCCGGCAAACTTTCCCCTCGTTTACCCCCGGCTTCTCCTTCGGCCGTTTCGCGCGTCTGTTTGCTCGCCGGCTTCCTTTGACCCGCGCGGATTTCAATTACGGGCCGACTCGATTTTCTCTGTAATTTTTACCGCTTCAGCCCCGAACGGGGGTTGGACCGTCGCAGCCGCACGCAACGCCTCCCCTCGGCCGCTGCGTTATTAAGAACGGGTAACCCAGATCTCGAATCTCGAAACGAATCTGCTGGAAATAATCAATTCCCCGCTAGTATATTTCCTCCGGGGCCCCGAGGGGAGGATTTTCGTTTAAAATTTCTAGCGGGTAGACGTACACTACCGGCGGAAAGTTTGCGATCCGTGTGTCGCGTGATCCGACGACGGTATCGCTCGAGGAAACGAAGCGCTCGAGTGGCTGGAAGACAGGAATCAACCCTTCGCACTGCGCATAGTTTTGTGATATGTCAGCAACTACCAATTTTGACAGTAGTCCAATGAAAATTAACAATGTTGTAACATTTCTTAGATCTTTAATTCCCTTCTCAGTACAAACTTTCTATATTTGGAAAATCTAATAATCTTGAGGCAGTTTTCTTAAAATTCAGTGAAATATTTGATACTAGAACTGGTGCAATATTGGAGCCTAGAGTACAAAGGGTTAAGAGCGTCGAGCACAGCTTCTCCGACAAAGAGGAGTCGGCCGGAGATGGAATTTGGATGGGAGATTATCGAGTAATTTACCGGAGCTCCGAAACTTTTGAACGATACTGTAGTCTTCCGCGGTCCCGAGTCTACGTTTCGACCATTTTTCCCGGACGTGCATCCGCGTAAACCGCGGCGGAAGGACGGCGGCGCATTCCGCGCGGAATTCGATGAATTTCCGGGGGTGGTACCGCCGGTAAGATCCGCTCAATGGAATATTAAATATCGGATTTAATATTCGGTTCTCATCCCTGACCTTTTTCCGGCCGTTAAAATTCGTTTTGCGAAGGAAGTAATATCCATCGGCCGAGACCGTTTAAACCGGCGGGCTGTTCAAACACCCAAGGAAGCCGGGAGACGGACAACAGGCGGCAGCATCGACGTCGCGGACGATATCGACGCTCGCCTTGGAAACCGTGCGTGCGGGACAGAGTCCTGTGACATTTGCACAGCGAAATTGATTCAACCCACACGTTAATTCAACCGGCGGACACACGCGGAGCGTGGCTTCTTTTAATTAAAACTCCCTCGTCCGCCATCGGCCTCCGACGGGACCTTCGGCTCACGGAGTTTTTATTTTTTCGAATAAACCGCGCGGCGCAGAGCCCAAAGGGATCAGCGGGATCGAGGTTCCTCTTATTTCGTTTCGTCCGAGCCAGCAGGCTAAACGGAGACGTCTCACGAATTAGATCGAGCCTGACTCGCATTACCGGAGAAGGAGATTTTTCCATCTTTCGGCGTTCCCGTTGGATTCGGCTTCGGCTGGAATGCAGCCGAACGTGGAATCGAAAGTCGACACGGTCGCAGCCGGGTGGCCCGTAAACTTTCCCGGGGCCGCGAGGATCGCGAATATGAATACGTAGTTACGCGTACAAACGTCGACCGTTCTCCGGGAATATTGGGTCAGAATAATATAAAGTTCGGGGGTTCGCCGTGCAGCTCGAGACGCTGGAACTCCGACCCCCTTGTTCCCGTAACAAATACAGTTTACGTTTCCGCCGGCTCTTTCTCTTCCCGCTACTCCTATCTCCGGGCTGCCGCGGTCCCGTGTATTTTCCTAGCTCCATCGCCAATAGCGCCAACTTCCGGGCGGAGCTCCGACTCTTACCGTACTTCTTTCGCTAATTACGCGCTACGTGCCCGTTTACTTAACCGACCCGTTGAAAAAGATTCCAGTGTTGCGAAGCGCGGGGACAGAAGAATCCGCGGGAAATCGGAGAAAAAGAGGAATAATATTATTTAACGATTTCTCCGGAATCTATTGTCCAACGACGATTACATCTCTCGGATGATAAGCCATCGACGAGTCTGCCGGCAGCCCCGGTAGGGGAAGCATTAACGTTCGAAGATAAAGGCAATTGATTCGCACGCGGCACCGAGCCACACCCCCGTCTCGGAGTTAGGGATCAATCCGGGGGTGGCTGGTTGAAACGTTTGTCAAGCAATCTCGCAATCAAGCCGGCAGCTATGACTCGCGGATAGCTCGGAACTCGATTACAGGGACGTGCCGCGGTGGGGGTGAGACGGATCAATCCTTTCGATTTATTTTCCAGGAGCCCTCGAACCATCGCCGTCGTCCCCGTCCGGTCCGGTTCGGCCCCGGCCGGTGGTTATAATTATTCGAATCACGAAAGCGCCACAATGGGGGAATAAAAGCGGGAGGGATCCATGGAGGGAAACGGAAACTTCGAGGAAAGTTCGTCTCGGGGGAGGAGGGTGAGAGTCCTATCGGCGAGGAGCTCTATAGGAAATAGATTACGCGAATTTCTGGATCACGGAGTCTCTCGTTCGGGCCTCCGTTCTCGGTTCGGCGTGCACGCGTCTCGCTCGATTGCGTATTTCGCCGCTCCGATCCCCAACCCTTGCTCCCGCGGCGACCGTACAACTTCCTCGCGGGAAAGACGCACGTGCTCCCTTCGAAATGGGAAAACTTGGGAACATAATGGACCGGAGAGCCGGGGAAACCGTCGGCTCTCCGAATCCCTCGGGAGAGAGCCCGAAGGGGTCGAGGGTGTTAAAGACTCGTGATCTCGCGGCACGTTATTACTGGACTCGGAGAAGTTCCTCGAGTGTCCGAGGGGACAAGCGGAGGCCGTGTCCTCGTCAATTTCGGCGGGACGTTTAAAGCGGAACGGCGGAGCTGGAATTCGAGACGGGCGGTGGAATTCGAGGGGAAGGGGGATCGATAAAGAGGCGCTCGACACCCGCGAGACCTATCTCGACGGGTCTATTTCAAGATTAACGTAGGTGCGAATCGCGCGAAAGCCTCGGCGTCCGGAGCTTCCAGCAACGACGCATAAAATCGGGCCGCGTTAAGCCGCGTACTCGCCGCTGTCCTCGGCGAGCGAGTCGACGGACGCGCGGGGCCCTCCCCGACGGAGGAAAAGTCGGGTGATCCGAAAAGCTGATAGACGAAATTGAACGACACGCGTCTCGGAGGGGCCGATAAAATGATACAGCGGTTAGCGCCAAGGCGGTGCGGAGGAGGCTTTAGTGGACGAGGAATCGGACGTTCGAGCCAAAAGCAGGCACCACCTATCGCGGCTATAAACGGGCCCGATGTATCATCCGAATTAATGCCGGGAAAGATGATCGGGCTCGATGGGACCATTCCGCTCGCGAAATCTTTATTGAACTCGATATTCCCGCACGCGGTCGTTCGCTGTCCTTTTACGAGGCGTTCGATCCTCCTGGAAACGACGGGAATTCGCGGTCCCGTCGGCCTATCGTTCCCGCTATGGACGGGGCACGTAAGAACCTCTCGAGCTGCGACGACTGTTCGCGCTCTCTTCGAATCCCGAACTCTGGAGCGTGGATGGCAGTCGAAACGAGAATCTAGGTTACTTTTTGCTTGTACGCGATAGTCCTTTTGCTAATGAAATCAGCGCTTCGAGTATCGAGAATTTCGACTGTTGAACGTTTAAATTCGAATGCACCCCTGGTTCTCAGGAGAAGAAAGAGGGAGAACGCGAAACGCGACGCTCTCGCGAGCGATATCGATATTCAACCGTTGGCCGTATAACCGAAAGGACTCGGCCCGGGAATTCCTCTTCGTTCCCCTTCGCGTTCGTCCCGCGCGTTCCTCCTCCTCCGCCGGTTCTATCCTCCTCCGCTCTCCGGTGTTTCCTCGGCTCCGTGTTTCGTTCCGGCCGCGCCGGGATCGAACTTTCACTTTCGAACGCAATATGCTGCCGCCAGCGACCCGGACTCCCGGCGAATTGGATTAACGAGGTTTATCATCGCTCGTTTTATAGGCTATCCTAGCGGAATGGATCCGGCGAATGGGACAAGCGGAATTGCGGCCCGGTCTCACCGCGGCATTCTCGTAGCCGATCGCTTTTTCGATCCGCGCGGGCTGAAAGTTATCGAGAGAGCCGGACAAGAATCGGACACGGCAGGATCTCGATTGTTTCATTTAATTGGACGACTAGCGGCAATTACCAACTCCCGACGAGTCTGAGTCAAGAACAAGTTCTCGCAAAGATATTCGTTGAGTCATCGAGTTCCGATGCAACCGATATGCCGGATGATGTGGATCGCGGAAACGGCGATTCGGTTGATCGAGATCCTAGCGCACTTTCGAAATCTCTCGACTGGCAAAATCGTCGGGCGGACCGTGGCTGGCCTTTCTCCCGATTAACTTCCAGCGATTTTCTCCTCGACGGAATAGGTGGAACGGTCTCGTTTCGATCGGCACCGGCAGATCGCTGAACGATAACGCCGGCAACGCGTAGAAAGGGATTTATTAATCGACTTACTCAGCGTGGCGTTGTTGGCACGCGACTGGTCGGTCTGCGATCTGAGCAATCGCAGCCGATTCAGCTTGCTCTGTTGTTGGTCCAGACTGTGCCTCAATCTGGCGAGCTTGTCCTGCTGTGCTGGCTCCTGAAACAGTAAACAGGAACACGGTGAATACGCGACGGAATACGGGGCAAAGTGAATGCGGTCTAACGAGGATGACGCGCGGACGGGATCGCGATCGAACGCTTTGACAGGGGCAGGACGCTCGGCTGCATCTTTCCGCCTAATGGAACAGTTTTCTCGAAACGATGTCGGATCGATTCGCGAGCAACCCTTCCCACGGCTTAATCGATTTCAAGCAGGAAAACCAGCCGCTTACCGGTTACAATTTCCGGTGGGATCATCCTTTTCTCGCTGGAAATTCCTCGGACGAGTTTACCGAACGAATTAGGGAGGCGTAACGCTCCGAACGTCGCGTACGCTTCGCGCCGAGGTCGGGAATCAAGCGACGTGATTCATCGAAGCAGGCGAGTCCTTTTTCGGAGCAAAGCGGCGACACGCCGAACGAACCTCTCTATAGAGGAAGGGGGAACACAATCGTTCATTCGCTAATGGGCGTGAATATCCTTTTCAGAATCGAAAAGGCGATCGGCCGGTCGATTAGCTCCCGTGGCGAGACGAGGAGCGGACTAATGCGGTAATCCGGAACCAACGAAATTACGGAGGCAGAAGCGGAGAAGGGAGAGGCAGGTTTTTCATCCGGGAAAATAAGATCTCTGTCCGTTTTCACGGTGTACATCGTCGGCCGTTAAAAAGTCTGCTGGCTTAGACGAAAGCCGGCTCCGTCTCGCAGCCGAGGCGAAGCGGATGGGAAGATCAGCGCTGGATCCGAATAAAAAACTCTCCATCTTCGGTGGTATTGGAGTCCGCGGCGCGCCGGCTCGGCCGGGGATAGAGCCGCGCGGGCGGATTAGGGCTTTCAGGTCCTCGGAAATCCCGGCCGAGTCCTGTCGCGAGATCCCCTATTACTTCGAATCGTTCGCGGCCTCTCCCGGAAATGAAAAAGCTCCCAGCCGCGCGGCCGCTCGCAGGCGCGAAGCGAGTCCGCGCGGCTCGGGAAATCTCGGTGAAAAAGCCGGACGACTCGAGGAATCAAGGGGTCCGTTATAAAGTCGGCATGGTATTCACTACGGGGTATGCGGGCCGCATAAATGATTCAACGGCCGCTCGCTCGCGAAAATCTAGACGACACGCGGATCGAATCTAGCGATCTCTCTCGCGGTTGCGGGCGATATCTAACGAACGACGTCGCTGAAAAGCGGAGCAAAAAAGCCGGCTTGGAAGCGTCCGTGGTGGTTTCATCCGTTGATTGCTGTTTCGCCGTGCGTTTCCATCGGGGCCCCAGACACTCGCTAACGAGCCATAAAACAGCCGGCTCTCGGTCGGTGCGCCGCGAAAAAAGCCGGTCGATTAATTAGTCGGTCGTTCGATCGGATGT